CATCTGCCACAGAGGCAACAGCTAGTGCAAAGGTCCTGAGGTAGGAACATGTCTGGTATTTTAGATCCATGTGACTGGAGAGGAGTGAGCAAGGAAGGATGTGGGGCGAGATGAGGTCAGAGAGGGAACAAGAAGCAGATGGTGCAGTCTTTTTCTTTTCTTTCTTTCTTTTTTTTTTTTCTTGGCAGTGCTAGGGATAGTGCAGAGTCTTATAGGGACTTTGGCTTTCTCTCTGAGTGAGATGGAGCCATGGGAAGTTTCCAAGCAGGGGAGGAACTGCATCAAGTTGGATGCTCTTCTGTGCACATCTTCTAGCTGCATGAGGGGTGGGGGTGGCAGCCAGAAGCCCAGGAGGAGGGGCAAACAAGGGTAGAAGCGGTAGAGGTGGTGAGAAGTGTTTGGATCCAGAATCCAGGTTTAGTGTATGTGATCAGTGATATATTTTATTTACTCCTGTCATTTTCTTTTGATTTCTCATCATTTTTTATTTCTTTGCTTGCTTGCTCTTTGGCTGTGCTGGGAATCAAATCCAAGGCCATCTTGGCAAGTGTTCTACCTCAGAGTCACACTTCCAACTTCTTTACAACTTCTTTTTTTGGTACCAGGGATTGAATCCAGGGGCACTCTGAGCCACACCCCAGCCCCTTTTTAATATTTTATTTTTTATTCTATTTTTAAAATATTTTATTTAGAGACAGGGTCTCTCTGAGTTGCTTAGGGCCTCACTAAGTTGGTGAGGCTGGCGTTGAACTTGCAATTCTCCTGCCTCAGCCTCCTAGTCTCTGGGATTACAGGTGTGCACCACCGTGCCCTGCGGCTGCATCACTGTAGTAGGCTGATTTTAAGTCCCCTGGGTGTAGACCAAGGACTGGGATAGCTGAGTCAAATGGTGGGTCCATTTCCAGTTTTCTGATGAATCCATATTGCTTTCCAGAGTGGTTGCACCAATTTACAGTCTCATAGGACTTCATTTTTTTGTAGGTAATACTGACAAAATTTGCTGACAGATTTCATGTGAAGAAAAATGTCACATTCCTAAAATGTTCTGGGGGATGGTTGGACCCACAGGTGCTGATGACATGTGTCAAGTACAAGCCTCTCACATCATCTCCCAACACCTGGGAGTTTATTGCAAATACAAATTCTCAGTCCTCACCTGGGAGCGACTGGGGTTGGAGCCAAAAATCTGGCTTCACAAGTCCTCCAGGTGAGCCTAGTATACTCATTTAGGGAATCGGCTGCTGTAACAAAGATTTCAAAACATGATGAGTCAAATTAAAAGATTAATTTCTCTCTCACATGATACTCCAGGGCAAATGATTCAGGCTGGCCATGTGGGCATCCAGGGACTCGGGCTCTTTCTCTCTTGAGGATCAGCTATTCCAGAGGATTTTCTTTTTAAAGATGAGATGTTGCTGTGTTGCCCAGGCTGGTCTTAAACTCAGTCCCCACTCAAGAGACTCTCCTGCCTCAGCCTCTCTAGTGCAGGGACTACAGACACACAGCACCCCACCCATTGCTCATGATTACTTTTGAATATTTCAATAAATGACTCTGCCTAAGTTCAATTCATGCTTTACTGCTTAGTAGCTGTGTGACCCTGGGTAAATTTCCTTACCTTTCTGTGCGCCAAATGAGCAAACCAGGGATGACAAGAGTACCATCATCCCTCACCTATGGCTAATGTGAGGATTAAATGAGATGATTTTTTTTTAATATTTATCTTTTAGTTTGACACAATATCTTTATTTTATTTATTTATTTTTATGTGATGCTGAGGATTGAACCCTGGGCCTTGCACATGCCAGGCAAGCGCTCTACCGCTGAGCCACAACCCCAGTGCTAAATGAGATGATTTTTTTAAAAAAAATCTTTTAGTTGTTGATGGACATTTATTTTATTTGTTTGTACGTGGTGCTGAGAATCGAACCCAGTGCCTCCCACATGCTAGGCAAGCGCTCTACCACTGAGCCACAACCCCAGCCTCTAATGAGATGATATTTTAAAGCAGCATAGTGCCTGACATGTAGAAAGCGTTTTTATGTATTCTTTATTAAAGATGTTGGTGACGATGACCACGACCACGAGAAGGACCCCATTCTGTAGACCAAAGGGTCGTCCAGCTTAGCGCTCGCTGATGACTGTATGAGCATCGGCCAGTAGGGGCCGCTGCCGGCTTGGAATGCCACAGCGTGTTGCGACCATCGGGGGGCGCTGTGGAGCTCGTCCCGCGGGCGCACCGACCGGCTGGACCAGTTCCCTTTGGACATTCCAGAGGAGTACGCGTCGATCCCGGCCAGTGCCAAAAGCCTCAGGGCCAGGGCTGGAGATTAATGTGGGGGACGTAGACAGGAGAAAAACTAGACCCTTGGCACAACCTCCAGGCCCAGCGAGGGGTGTGAGGGATGTGTGGCTCAGCGGTCGGCTCCCACCTTTGCATCCATCCCCAGGAGGCTGAAATGAGAGCTCACAAATTTTCTAGCACCGTTGGTCACCGGTCCGGTTCCTGGGGCATCCATACAGCAAGTTGTGGGGGAAATGGGATGGCCACGGGAGTTTCCCAGGGAGGGAATGGGAATATTTGGAAATTACCTACAACATTCATTTGAGATTTTCTTGCGTGAATGTCCAGAGGTTTCCATGGATTCCCAAAGGAATCAAGGACTCTAGACTGGAGCTGTCTTCTTTCTCTAGGAAGCTTTTCCTCAGATGAAGAAATCGATCAGAGGAGATCAGCTACCTCCTCCCAGCACCCCGTGGCCTCTGACCTTCCCCACACAGCCCTGACCTCTCTACCTGAGCCTCTGCCTTCACAGCACAGGTTATATGTGGCCATGTGCCTGCGTCCCCAACTGGAGCTCCATAAAAGCAGTGGCCAGGGATGGCTTAGACACCCCAGATGTCACTTACCAGCATTGTCCAACCCAGGACTGAGGCACCCAAAGAGAGGCATTTATTTGCCTTCCTTACCTCCAGGTCTCTGTTGACTCTGGTCACACCACTGGAACACCATCCCCCACCCCTTCATCTGGCTCATTTCCCAACCTTGCTTAGGTCTCAGCCCAGACAGCCCCTCCAGGAACCCTCCCTAGCTCCCACCCCCTAGGGTTCGGTTAGAATTTGTTTATGTTCCCAACACTCACAAAGCAAGTATTATGGAAAATATTTGTTGAATGAATGAGTGAGGGTTAGTGTTTGGGTTGGCTTCCCCCCTGTCAGCTGCAGTCACTTCCTGGCCCCCTTTGTAGAGTGTTTTTTTTTTTCTTTCCCCAGTTTTATTGAGTTATAATTCACACACGGCACAACTCACTCATTTGACATGTAGAATTCCATGATTTTTAGTACCGGCTTGTGTACCCCACTTTGTGGAGCCTTGAGCTCTTGTGTCCTGACACCCCTCCCACCTCTGTCCCTGTGCTTGGTGTCTCTCACTGTTCTGTTGGACGAGATAGAGTCTGGCCTCCTCCTCCACCCTGGGAGGGAAAATTGGTAAAGAACAAGACCTAGCCATCTGCCCTCACCATCTGACCAGCGACACAACTCAGCCCTTCCTGGAGGCCCACCCAGGGTTACAACAGTGACGGAGCCCTTGCTCTGTGCTGGGGGACTATATAACCATTGATTTAGTCATCGCCAGCCATCCTGGAGAGTAGCGCTCTGTAGTCACTGGGGTCGCTCAGGAATTCAACTTCTCCCCAAAGCTTGGGAGGTGGGCAGGGGGTGGGGTTCAGAGGAGCCCCCCTTTCCACTTATGCAAACTGAAATTAGACCCCTAGCATTAAAACTGGTGCCTCACAGGTCAGATTGTTGTAAAAAACACATTCTTATTTAAAATGAGATTTCCCTTTCTGCTCCACCCCCATCCCTGGGTGGAATGTCCTTCATTATACTTTGATTTTCCCGTCCAGCTTGGTCACGTCACTTGTGAAGACCCTCAGGCATCTGAGTTTGAAACCTTGCGGAAAGGGGCATCACAGGTGGGTGAACTCTTAGGGTCAGCCTGTCCCCGTGCCAGGGGCCCCTGCACTCCCCTACCCCACACCCCCCATCCCTGCCCTGAGCTTTTTGGAGATCAAGCTGTTGTTTTTTTCAGAGAGGGAGGAGTCGCCACATGGACAAGAAGTAGGCAGGGGACAAGGACTGCCGGGACTTGACCATCACACACAGCTCCTTCCCGCCTCCACGTGTCCCAGCACAGGCCACAGGCCAGGACTGCTGCTCCCTCATCTGTCCACAGCCAGTTCCCAGCTGGAGGGTCAGGTTCACCTCTCCTGGGACTCCTGTCCCTCTCTGTACTCCACTTGTCCCAGAATGGCTTAAGATGTCCTTGGGGAGTAGAGGAAATCTGGGCCCCCATCCAATCGAGAAAGCAGGATGTGAGGCTGCTCCCTTCTCTCCCTGCCTCAGGTTCCAGACATGGAAGAGGCTCCAGGGGGTTTACCAACAGGGCCAGGAGAAGGCATTAAAAACCCAGAGGCGAGATCTTTCTGGATATTAGAGAGAAACAAAGAAAGAGAATGATAGACAGGGAGAGATGTAAAGTCAGAGATATGGGCAGAGAAAATGAGGCAAAAGACAGAGAGAGAAATACAGCTGGGAGAGAGGCAGGACCTAGACAGTTAAAGAGACAGAGGCTCTGATGGCAGGAGGTTGAGGCAGGCAAACTGTAAGTTCAAAGCCAGCCTCAGCAACTTAGCAAGACCCTATCTCCAAATAAACAAGGGCTGGGGATGTGGCTGAGTGGTTCAGTGCCCTTGGGTCAGCCGGGTTGGAGAGAGAGGGGTGGGGGAGAAGACAGAGGGCAGGGGGTGTAGCTGAGTTGGCAGAAGGCTCGCTGGCATGTGTGAGGCCCTGCGTTCAATCTCCAGCACCACATACATCAAATTGTAGATTCAGAGACACGGAAATTGAGTCAGACATGTCATCAGTGTGTGTATGTAATTTAGTGACTAAAGAACAAACTCTGGAGCCAGATTTTGAGAAAAAAGAAAGGCAGAGGCAAAGGTACAAAATAGGTGTTTTTAATTGAACATTTTATAAAACAGAAAGGAAATGTGAAGGGAACCTAGGAAGAGACCAGGCCCAGGGCACGGGCAAGAGGGGCTGGGAGTGGTGGGAAGAGTGAAGACCTCGCTCCTAGAGTCTATTCATCCTGTGTCCATTATCTCAATCCCAGCGGATGCCCGGTGCGCATGCACACTAACAGGCTGCAGGTGTGCCGGGCACCGTCCCAAGGGCAGGCGTGGGTAGGATTCAGGCGCGGGGCCGCGCAGGCGCACAGTGGTGTGGCTGGTGTGTGGGTGCAAATCCCGGGCGGCAAATACAGCGAAAGGAGCCATCGGTGTTGACACAGCGCGCGTTGACACAGAGTGGGGAGGCTGCCTCTGCCTCATCGCACTCGTTGATGTCTGGGGAGGGGGTTGAAGGAGTGCTGCTCAAGGCTGAGGACCCAGCATCTAGCCTCCCTGGTCCCTGGGACTCAGTGGGGCAGAAGTATGGATGTGGGATGTTGAGCCTGTCTGGTTTGGACTTAAATCCGACCAATTCTACCTTCTGGCTGTGTGAGCCTTGGCAGGTGGCTTAACTGCTCTGTGCCTCAATTTGAGCTTTCCAAGATGGGTATGGGAGCTACATCACTAGATTTTTGCTAGGAAAATAATACTGATAATATCAACAACAGTAAACACTTTCCTCATACCAGATATTATGGTAAACACGTCACCTGTATTGACCTTATCTTCCTAATACCCCTATGAGGAAGCTCCTGTGATCCTGTTTGACCCGGATGTATAAACCAAGGCCCAGTGGAGGAAATCCCTTTGCCCGGTGTCACACAGCAAGCCTACACCAGGCAGGTTCTCAGGCCAGGTCTCCCAGTCTCTGGGCGCCCAGCCCCCTGCTATTTCTTGGCTGTGAGACCTCAGGGGACTCAATTCTCTTCTCTGAACCTCAGTTTACACATAGGTCTCAGTTATTAGGAAAGTGTTGATGATGTTCACAACTCTTCTGTAAACTGGGTTCTTTGACTATACCCATTTTCCAGATGAGAAAAGCTAAGCAAGGGACAGTGAGCTCTCAAGGGTCACAAAGCAAGTTGCTGGACTGAGCCTGAGGTCTATCAGATTCCCCTAGAGTTCCAGATTGTCATCACTTGGCTTTATCCTTGCCTTGACAGACATAGATTAATATTCCCATTTTACAGATGGAAAGACGGAGGCTTTCCAAAGAGGCCAGGCAAATCGTCCAAGGTACCATTGGTGGTCCTTAGAAATCTGCAGGACTCTACTCCTCCTTCTGCTTCTAGGCCCAGCCCCACCCACCCTGTGGTCAAGCCCTGCCTTCCTCCAGCCCTGACTCACCCCTAATTAAGAATCACCCCCTTGGAGCTGGTTTTTGGCCACCTACCTCCACCAGAGTCCCCACCCTCTCTGGGCGAGCCCTGCCTCTCCCTGCTGCCCCTCACCGACACAGGCCATGCGGGTTATGTCCAGGCGGTAGCCATCGAAGCAGTCGCAGGTGAAGCCTTCAGGAACACGCACGCAGCGGCCGTGGGCACAGCCATCCAGGATCCCACACTCCTCGGCCTCCAGCCCCTCATAGGGCTCAGTCAGGGCGTCTGTGGAGACCCCAGGGAAACGGGGCTTTGGTCTCCTCATTCCCCCACCCAACCACTCTACCCGAACGTCCCAGTGTGGGTGCCCTTGGCTCCACCATGGGTCTCATTCTAAACTGTCCCTCCTGCTCCAGAGCTCGGGGGCGCTGGGCGCCATGAGCTCCACCTCATTTGGCTCTCCTAGCTTTTCCGTCCCCTCCCCTCGGTTGGTCTAGGGGTCTTTCTCTGGTCCTCTTTATCGCTCCCATCTCTGCCCCGTCTCTCGGCCTATCTTCTTTTTCAGCTTCTCCCTCCCTCCCTCGGCCTCGCCTCTGTAGGCCCCACTCCTCATCACTGGCCCACAGCGCTCACCTGTGTAGCCTCGACCTTCAGAGGACTCCTCAGGCTCTGGGAAGGAGCCGCGGGTGTCACGGGACCGATAGGGCCAGCCCATGCCCCGGCTGGGTGGCGCAGGAGCCTCAGATTCACCATAGGGGCCACCATCATCCTCAAAGTCCGGCATGTCGAAGGGTGGTGCCCCGTAAGGGGCTTCCCGGCGGGCAAAGGGTCCAGGGGGTGGTGGGTAGGGGTCATAGGGCAGCACAGGTGGTGGGTACAACTCAGGCCCATAGGGGAGGCCCTGGTAAGGGGGGCCTATGTCTGGGCCATACTCATAGGGCAGCCCAAAGCCACCTGGCCGAGGGGGGCCATATGCAGGGGGACGCAGCACATTGCACAGGGCCTCAAAGTCATCTGTGAACAGAAGCAAAGCCACACAATCAGCTCTGTGTGCATCTGCACCCACCCCCTCCACCCACAGCCCCGACCCTGGGAAGAGAAGCCCAGAGGATGGGAAGGACCCTGGGCTGAGGCCTGGGTGGGAAGCACTTGAAAGGAGGGTGCTGGATTGGAGGAGTAGGATTAGGGGTTTCTGGTGTCAGGATTGAGAGTCTGGAGGCTGAGGTGGTAATTCAGAGGTACTGGGATCAAGTACTGAATACTACAGCTAAGAATTAGAGTTTAGGGGGTCCATGGGAGTTAGAACTAGGGACCGGGAGCAATGAGATAAAGGTGTTTTGTGGATTAGGCCAGGATGCATGGGAGGGGTCTCAGCCACCGGGACCTGGAAATCTGAAGACCTAGCAGTCTGTGGGCCAGGGTTGGGGGGTCTGTGCAACTGGTGTATGAAGTCTAGGGTCCAGGATTTGGGAGAGGGCATCTCAAAGGTTGTGCCTTGGGGTTTTAGAGACCAGGAGTTGAGGGTACAAGAGATCAGACTCCAGGAGCCTATGGTGCTGGAACTCTGGGATCTGCTGAATCTGGCCTTAGGGTTTGTGTCACTGAGACTTGGAAGTCTTTGGGATTTTATTTGGGAACTAAGATTTGGGTATGGACTGTGATAAGGAGGTTAAGGTGCCAACTGGGAGGATCTGTGGTTCCAAGACTGGGAAGTCCAAAGGCCTGGCTGGATTAGAAACCTAAGGGGCAGGATCTGGAGTGCAGCCTAGGCTAGTGGCAGTACCTGAGTCCTGGGCAGGGCAGAGGGCACAGTCCATGCCCCAGGCTTCTCCATAGAGACAACAGCACTCTGTGTAGGTGGCCTGCCGGTCCAGCCGTGGGCGACTACAAACGAGGTCAGGCCCCACTTCCTGCCAGCATACTCCCAGATTGTCATCTGCAGATGGTGACAGGATGTATCAGGGTGGAAAGGCACTTGCATCCTCTCAAGTGCTGAGCCCCCTCCCCTGCTGGAGCCCAGCCACCTTCTGCCTATCAACAGATTCTTCTCAGCTGTGATGTGACTCTCAGAAGCCCTTTGAGGTAGGTCCAGGGTTCTGCATTAAGGACAGGACTTGTTTTGGCAGGAGACTGTTGTGTAGGAGGAGAGGACAGAAGAAGAGGCCTGGGAGATGGGATCTGAGAGGTGCTACCCAATTCCAGCCTCTAGAGAGCTTTGTGAACTTAGGGCCTTTGCTTCCCTTCTCTGGGCATTATTTGAAGTCTCATGGTGAGGGGGATGTTGTAGCAACACAGGAACTGTTTGAATTTTTAGGTTTCACTTGAAAATGAGAGAAGAGACTTTGGGCCAGAGGGCAAAAACAGAAATGCGGAGACACAGAGAGCCAATCCGAGAGAAACTCAAGAAAGATTGACAGAGGTCTACAAAGAGAGGGAGGAAAGTGCACAGAGACCAAAAGGGAGAAAGAAAAGACCAAATGAGATAGAGAGACCAAGAGAAAGAGAGACCTGGAAACAAAGACAGATTGAGAGAGTGTCAGATATGCATATAAAATCCAAAAGATAGCTGGGGATATAGCTCAGTTGGTAGTGTGCTCTCCTCGCATGCACAAGGCCCTGGGTTCAATTCCCAGCACTATATTAAAAAAAAAAAAAAAATTTTACAAATCCAAAAGATAGAAACGCAGAGAGAATTAGACACACAGAAAACTACTAACGGGTAGCAATCATTTAGCACTCAGTAAGGCTAGGCTCCCTTCTGTCATTACAAATAAAATAAAATTCTACACTGTAAGGTAAGAGCTAGTCACTCAACACGCAAGCGGGAAACTAGGTCCAAGAGGAGATATGCAACGTGCCAGTAAGTGGCAGACTGCCTCTAAAAACTTCAACCACCAGGCCAGCTGCCTCTGAGATCCACACAAAGACAGCCTGCAGGGCCGAGGGGGCGTGGCCTTCTCCAGGAGCGCGAGGGGCGTGACCCGACAAAGGCGTGGCCCGTGGGGTGGAGCCAAAGGAGATTGGCCCCCGGGCGGGGGCGGAGCCAGGGGGCTGGAACACGTGGGGGCGGCCGGGGCGGAATTACCCAGGCTCTGGCTCTCGTTGGAGACGCAGCGGCGCCGCGAGCCGTCCAGCACAAGTGGGGGCTCGCATGTGCAGTGATAAGAGCCCACCGTGTTGACACAGCGGCCTCCTTCACAAGCTGGCTCCTCGTCGGCGCATTCGTCATTATCTAGGGAGCCATAGAGGGAGTGGTTAAGAGGCGGCCTTCTCCACCTACCCATCCCCTTCCAATTTCTCTTTCTCCCCAAGCACTGACACAGTGATAGAGGGAGTCTAGACTCCAGGAAGGACTTCCCGCTGTGATGGCCGCCTACCGAGTTGGGGCTGGCTTGGCCAGGGGTTGGGGAGAGGGAGGAAGATGGTAGAGGTGGGGCTCATACCAACGCACTCCAGCCTCTGAGCGTGGTAGTAGTATCCGTTGCTGCAGTAACAAGAGTAGCCTGGGGCTGTGTTCACGCAGACTCCGCTCTTGCATACTTGGTCTCGGAAGAGCTGGCATTCGTCCACATCTGCAGGAAGGGTGAGGAGAGATGGGAGAAGGCCTGGGTGTGGGATCAGCTGGGTGAGGGGAGTGTGTGACAGCGGCGTGTGACCAGGAAAGACAAACCAAGGCAGAGAGAGGGCAGTAGAAAACCAGAAGTAGAGACAGGGAGAGCTGGAGACCGGAGAGGGTGGGGATGGGCATGGGGTTGGAGATGGATACAGAGAAACAGGGCCAAAGACAGAGAGAAACAGGAAGAGACACAGACAGGGTGGGACAGATCTGGGGCCTGATAGGGGGTGGGGGATGAAGTCTGGCCTCACCTCTCCGTAGGCTTAGGTCTCCACTGGGTGCCAGGTAGCCCCGGCCATGGGGGCACAATGACTGATATTCAGCTGCAAACAGAGAAAAGGCTGAGCCAGGACCTCAGAATCCCAGCCCCTGCCCTGGGGCGCCTGTGCTAACCTTTACCTCCTGCCCATGTGTTCAGGCCTCTGCCTGTTAGTGACCACTTCTCAGCTGCATGCCCACCCACAACCACCTGGTAGCTGGTGGTTCATTCCTTACCCTGGCAGTATCAGTACCCAATGACACGTCCAAATGTGCCCACCTTCCTACTCTCATGCCTCTCTATTCCCACCCAAACCTTCCGCCCTGTGTCCACCCACCAGTCTACCACCCACCTGTCTCAGTGCTTGGGCACTGCTGGATGCGGCAGCCGCTGCCCCAGCCCTCACCCACAGTACAGCAGCACTCCTGCCATGTCACGTTCCGTGCCAGAATGTTGTCACATGCATCTGGGGCTGCTGTGTCAAAGTAACACTCCCGGCGCCCACTGCCCACAGGACCCTGCCTGGGTGTGCTGGGTCTGCGGGGTGGGGATGGTGGGGGAGGCCTGGCCGGTGGCAGGTTAGGGCTGGCAGGTGCTTGGGGCTGTGAACCTGGAAATGTACCTGGGGAACCACCAAGGGGCTTCACTTAGGATGGGTTGAGTCCCAGCACCCCACCCCCAGGCCCCGGATGTCAGAGGTGGGGAAACTGAGGCCCAGAGGGTGCCAGCCATTGGTGGCAGAATCCGACTCCACGCCTCTCACCACCTGTCGTTCTCTTTCTACCACTCTCACCTGTGTGTCTACATCTTTGGCCTCCCAGCCTTACAATTCCCCAGGTGTCTCTCCCATCGCTGTGGGGGAGGACATTTCCCTGGCCTGGGTGCCCCACCATCTTCACATCTGACAAACTGGCTCCCAGTCTTCACCCCAGACCTAGGCTTCCTCCTGGGTAGTTGCCCCACCAGGCAGCCCCACGGCTTGTCCCTATAGCCTCTTGGGTTTCTCTCCCACCTTCTCTCCCTCCCCTTCCCTCGCCCCTGCCTTGGTCCAGCCCTGTCCTCTTCTCTCTGGATCCCTGTCCCAGCCTCCAGTGTCACCCCTCTATTATGCACCTTTCCTGCTTAAAACAGGTGCAACAATGCCCTGGGGCAAAGTCCAACCTCCTGGGTGAGCCAGTGTGTTCTGGCACCTGCCTCTCCCCCTTCCTTTGCTCTTCACCTCATGCCATGTGAGCTTCTGCTGCTCCTTCAGCATGCCAGGTCCTTTCCTGCCTTCGTAGGCCCTTCCTCTTGCTGTGTCCTCTGCCCAATACCCCCTCTCAACACCTGCTCCTTTCCACTCGTCCTCCTGCTCTCAGTTCAGACATTGTCTCCTCCAGGAAGCCCTCCCTCCTCTTTCTCAGGTCAGGCACCTCCTCCAAGTCCCTAGGCTTTCCCCATCACAGCCAGTGTATTCCTGCTGGCCTAGCTTCCTTCCTCCCAGTCCTGATGCCTCTGGGTTATCACTATCTGATGATATCTCTGTCTGCCCCATTGGATGGTGAGCCCCTTATGAACAGAGAATTATCTTTCTCAGTCATTGTTGTCCTCAGTGCCCAGAATAGGACCTGAACACAGCGTATGCCCTGTGAACATTGTTGAGTAAAGGAATGTGACAGAGTTCATCTAGTTCATCATGGTAGCATTTAACTGGTGGCAGCTGTACATCAATTTTCCTGTACAACCAGCTACCACCAGTTAAATAGTCATGTTAGTCTCACCAGCAGAAGTCCGTGGGGGAACACAGCGTCCAGTCATGGGGTCAAACTCCTCAGGGCTGGTAGGACAGACACAGAGGAAGGAACCTTCAACATTTTCACACAGGGCAGCTCCACAGACACCCTGTAGTGTTTCACACTCATTCACATCTGTGAGCAGGAAATAACAAGGGAAAGAGAATCAATGGTTATGACCTTTTGTGGTTCAAAAAATTTGAAAGTATGAGCTTTCAAATAAATATAATGACTTTCTTTAATGGCCCAGATCCCATCCTGTACTTTCCTTTTGGTAACAGATCCTGATTTTCCCTTGGGAACTCTGTGCTTCTCCAATTTCAACTAATTTATTTTGAATAGGACTAATTCTACTCTAAGGCAGAATCAACCAGATTACTGCATTTCTCTGGTTTAGACCCACACTGGGCCAATTAAACCCAGTTTTGGGACTTTCACTGGAAATGTTGAAAAGGAACCTTCCCCTTTAGATCTAGCACAGTTCAACTAAGGATGCTAGCTCAGTCTTGCTAGGGCCACCCTGGTCATTATGAAGAGAGAGTCTGCCTAAAAATAAACCCCATAGAGGACAGCAGAACTGAGAGAGGGACACAGAGACAGAGATAGCCTTGGTATATTCTTAGATCCAGTTATACCAGAGCTCCAATATATCCCAGAACTTTGCAATTTTAATTCTTTTTTAAAAGAAATAAAGCCTGTTTTTTTTAAACCCACGAAATATGTAATTAAGATTCATGCACATTTCTGTATGCAAATTGGACCTCAAATGAAAATATGTGTAAACATACATTGAACTCTAGTTCATGATGTGAAGACTGAAGAATCAAGGAGGAAATGTATTGATGCCTACAGTTTACCTTTTTTTTCTTTCTTTTTTTTTTTTTTGTGGTACTAGGGATTGAACCCAGGGCATGGCACATGCTAGGCAAGTGCTCTACCATGGAGCTACATCCCCAGCCCTTTTTTGTTTTATTTTGAGACTGAAGTTCCACCAAGTTGCCCACTGGTCTTGAACTTGTGATCTTCCTGACTCAACCTCCTAAGTCACTGCAATTACAGGTGTGCACCACCATGCCAAGTTTATAATTTACTCAAATTTGCCTAAAAAATTAAAATGGCTTCATGGATAGGTGTGTGAGAAAGCAATTATAAAGAAAATGATTTAAAAAAGAGAATCTAGATCACAGGCATACAGGTGTACATTTGTCAGTTCTTTCAATTTGTTATGCTTAGTAATTTTCCTCATAACATATTAGAAAAAGATATATTTTTAAAAGTTCTCAGAAAAAAATAAAACTCAAATGAACAAAGCTTCTGTCACTTGCCACTAGCAGAGTTTTGACTGATATGGAGCTGATCTTCTGTTGCAAGAGCTAAATTCTACAACCCTAAGTTCATGTTTCTCCAGATACACAGACAGGAGCAGGACCTACTCCACCTCTCCCCCTTCCCTTTGCTCTCGCCCACCCCCTGGAGCCCCGTACCCACGCAGTGACGCCCATCCCGCGCCCCCTCGTAGCCCTGGTCACAGAGGCATTGGAAGGATCCAGGCAGGTTCTGGCACACAGCATGGGCACCACAGAAGGACCGGTTCCGGCACTCATCCACATCTGCAATCACCAGACAGTTAGGCCATTTCTGAACCTTCCACCCCTTCCACACATCTCAGCCAACATCCAGTGGGTACCCACCCTGGCATCCACCCCCTGGCATGGGCTGATAGCCGGGGTCACAGGCGGGTGTACAGCGGTACGATCCAGGGGTGTTCTCACAGCGCTGAGCTCCACAAATTGCAGGGCCATATTCTTGGCATTCATCCACATCTGCAAGAAAGCGAGGAGGAATCAGACACACACACACACACACACACACACACACACACACACACATGTGATTAGCCCAGCTCCTCCTGCCCCCATCAGTCCTCTGCCAGGGTCTGAAGGAGGGATGGGAGCCAGAGAGGAATGAGGGGTGGAGGAGAGTTAGGGGGAAGACCTGCAAAATAGAAGAGTACTCAAGGGATAGGTCTGAAGGCAGAGGAAAGATGGGGAGGTGTGGGCCTATGTGTTTCCAAGGGCTGCAGAAGTCTGTGGAATGGGAAAGAACAATCAAGAGGGATGAATGGAAGGGCCAGAGCTTAAAGGGGCAAGACCTAGTGCTTGAAGAAATTTGGGGGAATTTCACAAGAGCAAAGGATGACAGCCAGGGTGGGGCCTCTTTGGAAGGACAGGTAGGAGCGGAGGAGTGGTAGAGGGTGGGAAGAAGGCATGTCCCTGTTTATGTTAGGAGGCAAAGTGGCCTGAAGAAGTTTTTATCCATAGGTCCACTGGAAGGGGCAGGTCCCAACAGTTCTGGCAAGAGATATCTTTGTGGGTTATTTCCTTAAAAAATAGACTAGGCTCAAACTACAGAGGGGGCACAGGTGGCTCTGGCTTGCCCTGGTTGGGGATAGGAGTATCTCCTCCATCCCCTGCCTCTATAAGAAAATACAAGGCCACAATGGTGGCTTCTTTCTGCCCCAGAGATACGGCGGGATGGGGTAAAGGGTGCATTGGTTAGGGGCCCCTTCCCTTTCTCCAAGTTTTTTTTTTTAAATATTTATTTTTAAATTTTTGGTGGACACAGTATCTTTATTTTATTTTTATGTGGTGCTGAGGATTGAAAACAGTGCCTCATGCATGCTAGGCGAGTGCTCTACCACTGAGCCACATCCCCAGAGCCCCCTTTCTCCAAGTTTATAGGGCAAGATGTCCTTCCTCGGTCCCCATGGGAGCGGATTCCAGGAACCTCTCTTGGGGGATGGAGTTGAGGGATTCGTCTCACCATCACAGGTGCCCTCGGGTCCCGCGTGATAGCCCGGATCGCAGTCCCGGACACAGCGGTAGGAGCCAGGGGAGTTCTCACAGCGCTGAGACCCGCACAGGGCGGGGCCCCGCTCACGACATTCATCAATATCTGAAGAGGGAGGCCAGGAGGTCAGACGGGAGAAGCAAAGGAGGCCAGCAAGTTAAGGGAGTCAAGAAAGCAGCAGGAAGGAGAATGCCAGGGAGCAGAGAGGGGCAGTGAAGAAGCGGTGAGGAAGAGGCCGAGGTGCATGGCAAAAAGGAGTGGTGGGGAGGGATCAAGGCGGGGCGCGGCCTCTCACCAAGGCAGGAGGCGAGGTCTGGGCCGGCCCGGTGTCCCGGAGGACAGACGCACTCGAAGGAGCCGTCGGTGTTGGTACAGAGGCCGCTCTGGCAAAGGTCCTCCTCGCTGCACTCATCCACGTCTGCGGATCAATCGTAGAAAACCCAGACCCACCTCCTCCTCGGCCTACACCCAGGCCACACCCCTCCACCGCCCTTTCCCCGCCCCTCCACGCTCCAGGCCTTTAACGCCCTCCCCCACCCGCCTCAAGCACCCTCCTTCCCTGCAAGCCCCGAACCTGGGGCTTTAGGACTGTCCTTTCCAATCACTGCCCAACTTCAGACTCCGCCCTTGCCCGTGTCCGGCCCCTCCCCGTCACCACCTTGAGACCCCCCATGGCCCCGCTCCCCCGACATAAAGTTCAGTCCCCGGGATTCCACCTTCTTCTCCCTGTCCCGCCTTTTCCTGTTAGAAGGCCACCCACTCCTTGTCCAGGACCAGCCTGAGTACCGACCGAGACAAGACGCTCCGCGGGGTCCGGGCCGGTAGCCGGGGGCACAAGTACAGGCAAAGGAACCATCGGTGTTGAGGCACTCTCCGTGGGGGAAGCAGAAGTCGCCCTCCAGACACTCGTTTACGTCTAAGGAATGCCCGAGATTCAGCTGGGCTGCGGGGTCACCTGACCCGGCCCTCCAGAACTAGGCCCCGCCCCCAAACAGCACCCCGCACAACCCAAGCCTAAACTCCTCCCACAGCCCCACTTTTGTTTGTTTGTTTATTTATTTGGTACTGGGGATTGAACCCTGGGGCGCTCTACCACTGATCCACATCCCAATCCCTTTTTATTTTTTTGAGACAGGGTCTCACTAAATTGCTGAGGCTGACCTTGAACTTGGGATTCTCCTGCCTCAGACACCCAAATCGCTGAGATTACACGAGTGCACTCCTCACGCCCAGATCCCACAGTCCTTTACTGTAACTTCTGCATCCCCAGTAGGCATATCTCAGTACTGACAGGCTCTCCTGTTGTCCCCACCCTGCCCACCTGCACAGGGCCCGGGCAGACCCGATGGCGCCCGGTACCCTGGTGCGCAGCTGCAGCGGAAGGAGCCTTCGGTGTTAGTGCAGTGACCATGGAGACCGCAGGGGGCGCCTGAACTGCATTCGTCCACATCTGTGGGAGCAGGGGTTTCAGCAGGGGTCCAGTCTAGGGGCACACTGAACACATCCCCTTGGAGCAGAGGGGTCTGGGGGAAGTGATGGAAAATGCCTTGAGTAGAAAACAGGATGAGGACTCCATGGCAGCCCTGGGGACTGGGATTTGATTCCTGTGGGTTTGGGTGTCTGGAAATTCCCTGTGCCAGTATCCTGGGGTTAGGCAAAGGGACTCTGAAATGGCACATGGGTCATAAATCAAGACCATCTATGGGATTCTGCTGAATAATGGATCAGAGTCAATGAATGACTGGAAAATTCATTAGGATCACAGGCTACAGTGAGAGTCCAGGATTCTGCCTCAAATCAGGAGTCAGGGTCAGGGATAATGACCTAACCCGGTTCCAGGGAAGAGATTCTGAGATAGGACAGGGGCAGTAAGGGAGACAAGATCAAGGGACAGGGTTGTGGCAGGGTTATGGTTAGGGTCATAGATCACATTTATGGTCGGGGGACAGTCAGGGTCAGGAGATTAACTGCTATCAAAGTTGTCGTGGGTTATCAATAAAGGTTAGGATGAAATGTCACAGTCAAGTTTAGTGTTCAGTCAGGAGAGCACATTCAGGGTTGAGAGTCATGGACCAGGTAAGGGATCACAGCCTGTTCAGGGGTCTGTGGTCTAGGCAGATCATAATCAGATTGTGAGAGTTGTGGTCCAGGTAAGGTGATTGAGGTCCTGATCAGGAGGTTATAGTTCAGGTTAGGGTCACCATCTGGGTCAGGGGGTCATGATACAGGTTGCAGGTCACAGTCAAGGCCTGATCTTACCAGTGCATCTGCCACGGTGCAGATGGTGGCCAGAAGGACAGGCCCTGCACTGGAAAGAGCCAGGTGAGTTCACACACTCCTGTCCAGGACATGCCAGGTGGTTCTCACATTCATTCACATCTGAGGAACAGGGGAGAAAGTGGTCTTGAAGGAACAATCCCATGCCAACCTTGCCCACCCCCATACCTCCCTCCCTCCCCGGCCTCACCCTCGCACTCAGAGCCAGCAGCGTTGGGTTGGAAGCCTGTGGGGCAGACACACTGGAAGCTGCCCTCTGTGTTCTCACACCGGCCATAGGCACAAGGCGAGGGGCTACGGGCACACTCATCCACATCTGGGGCAGGGGAGATCAGTCAGGCTAGGGAAGGGGCCTGGATCCCCTGCCATCCCTACCCACCCCAACATTCCTGTCTTGACCCAGCCTGCTGAACGTTGCCAGACTGGCCCCCTCCTCTCAAATGACAAAGCCATTCCTTATTTCCCTATTTATGGCCTCTCCAGCTGATACAGAAGCTAAGGCACCGGCTCCTCTGTGTTGCCTTCCCTGCCTCAGTTTCCCCTCTTCAGGGTTCCCATAAGCACAAGCATATCATTCAAAAAGGAAGAGGAATGGGGAACATTCTCATTTTAAGAAAGCGAAGACTAGAGTCATATCCTCCTGCCTTCTCAGTATCCCACCTTTCTGCCCCTGGCCTCCATCACGGAGCATATCACTTGGTTTCTCTGACACCCCCCACCCCCAATGACTATCTAGTCCCCACAGCAAGTAGCAGGGCTGCAGGGTTGGACCTAGCACCTCACCTTGGCAGGGGGCCCCAGGCCCTCTGGAGCGGAAGCCAGCTGGGCAGGCACAGTGAAAGGAGCCAGCCGTGTTGTCACAGCGGCCTGGCCCACAGGGTGGCGGCTCCTGGGCACACTCATCCACATCCTCTTCACACGCCGAACCCCGGAAGCCAGCCGGGCAAACACAGCGGAAAGAGCCGGACAGGTTCTCACACACGCCGCGGCCACATAGGCCTGGGCTCTGCGTGCATTCGTCCACATCTGTGTGGGGCAAGGGGACCCCATCACTGCTTTTCTTTGTCCCCTTCCCCCTTCCTGTCCCATGATCCATCCATGTACCTGGCTTCCATCCCTGACTTTACACCCTCCATCGTTCCTCCTCTCCATTCTCCATCAATCCCTATTAAGCTAGCTGGCTGGCTCCTAGAACTCTGCCTCTCTAGCCTCCTCTCTAGCTAGCCTCCATAATTCTGCTCCCCTTTCCAATTACTGACTTCTCCATCCCTCCTACTGTGCTTCTCCACCTTCCAGATTCAGTCTTTCTGTTTCTCATCATTTGGCCTTTTCCATGCCTGGGTCACTCTAAGCCACACGTCTCGTTCTCAGAACCCAGCCTCAATCTCCCGGTAGTCAGCCTCCCTTCGCCCCATTGCTCAGTTCCCCAATCTTCATTACTGCCCCTATACCCTTCCCCTTGGGCCCCCTTTCCTTCTGACCCCCTCAGTTCCTCACCCTGGCAGCTGGCTCCGTGCGGTGCTGCCTGGTACCCAGCGGGGCACACGCAGAGGAAGCTGCCTGGCGTGTTCTCGCAGCGCCCGCGGTCACACGGCGGCGGCACGCGCTGGCACTCATCCACGTCTGTGGGCAGAACCGGGCAGCTGGACTGAGACCGACAGTCCGCGGAGGCGTGGAGGAAGGTGTGTGGCCCGGCATAGGTAGTTGGGGAAAAGAGGGGCGGGCAAGGGCAAGGGCGGGGCTTGGGGGGGTGTGAGTGGGCTTAAAACGAAGACCGTGATTGAGCCGGGAGGGCAGGGCACGGTCTGGGGACCTCTCCAGGACAGAGTCGGAAAGGGAGACCGTGAGAGGAGGCAAACTGGGGGAGGGTGGAGCCTGGGAAAGGTAAGGGTGCGAAGAGAGAGCAGCTTTGGGGACCCAGCAAAGAAAGGAAAGGCAGGAGCGGGGCAAGAGAAGGGGGCGGCAGTTTGGGGATGAGGCTCTGGTGTGACAAGGGTGGAATCAGGGGTCGTGGTCAGGGAACTGGATGCAGCAGTTGTAGGACAGAGGCGGGGCCTGAGGGCGGGGAACTCGCAGGAGATCAAAAGGGCGGAGCCAACGGGAGGGCGGAGCCGGGCTGGGCAGTAGAACCCCGACTGGGCCTCGAAAGGAAGAGCCTATTTGGCTGCAGGGCTGTCGTGTCGCCAAGAGAGAGATGATCCCAGGCGGGCTGGGGCCACGGCAGGACAGGGCAGTAGAAGGACTAGACTGGTGTGGGGAGGCGAAGGAGGGAGGGGGCCGTTCTGGACCTCGAGCAGAAGCCACACCCAGGCTGGGTGCGGCCTGGAGCGGGGCGGCACGGATTTCTCACCCAGGCACTCGGTAGCCCGCGGGCCGGCTCGGAAGCCCGGGCCGCACACGCAGCGAAAACTGCCTGGCGTGTTCTCGCAGCGCCCGGGAGCACAAGGCGGGGGTATGCGGCGACATTCATCTACGTCTGAGGGCACGGAGGGAGGACTGGTCACGAGGTGACAGGGTAGAGCGCCCTCCCGGTCCAGCCTCCGCCCTTCAACCCAGCTTACCGATGCAGCGGGTGCCCTGGGGGCTGAGCCGGAAACCCGAGTCACACGCGCAAGTGTAACCACTGGGCCGTGGTATGCAGCGACCTGGGCCACAGACCTGGGGATTGCGCTGACACACGATTGAGGAGGGACCTGGGCGGGGGAGGCGGAGTCAGGCCAGGTTCCCGCAATTCTGAACTCTTTGTCCCTTCTATCCCAGTACAATCCCCTCAAGTCCTCTTGCCTAAAACACCTTCTTGCATGTCTCCTCCTCAAGCCCAGTCTTGGATGGGAATCTGCTCTCCTTTAACATAGGACGTTCTCATCAGGTCCTTGCCAGAATCCTCTGTTCACAATCCCACCCAAAGGTATCCATCTTTGACTAGTTTACTTTCCAAAAAATAATGACTTATCTAACAGTAACAGGGCAGTTACTATGTGTCCAACACATCAGCAATCTCTCATGGAAAATTTCACAGTGATTCCCATTTTACAGAACAAAAAACTGACTCACACAGGGTTTAAAAGATTTGCTCAATTAACAGAATTGAGCCCAATTCATACTCCAGCACCTGATCTAACTGCCATCCAACCCTTTGCATTCTTATCTCTTCTGACCCATTTCTTTTCTTCCTTTTTTATTCATTTTTAT